AAAGGACGTTACAGGCACTGCACGAGGAGATACACTTGCAGCCTTCGACCAAACATAAACAAACTGTTCTAAATAAAAAAATAGTGGTTCCAAGTAAAACTATATTGATAAAAGAATTTTGAAGAGGTGCAAAATTTTTTTTTCAAATATGACGTTATGCGGCGTCCAAACACAAAGAATACAACAGTTTTTGCATTGCTGAAGCTCTAGTCATTCTGACGGAGAAAGTGGATCCATGCATAGGAAAGAAAATTACTCAACCGCTTCTACTATCGTGGTAACAACCCTGTTTTCTTGCTTGGTTTTTAACTCTTTATAGCTGTGGAATTACTTTCGGACTTTTATGTAATGTCATATTTTCCTTCGTTTCTATGTGCATCCTGATTACAAGTCATTAAATTACTTGTCCCATCAATTTAAATATCATCTTTTTTAAAAAACTGTTGATAAAGGTGATTGTACAGTTAAAGCGAATAAAGTCGCTCAAAAGAGCCTATTCATTTATTTCTGGATGGGGATTATTCATAAATTTTACCATAAGCAAGCGATTTTAAAAAGTAATACTTCTAACTTCAGTCAGCTTACGTATTAGATGATGATTTTTGAAATGAAAAATATTTAAGAGGATGAAACATTACTAGCATGGAATGCACAAAGAACCACCTTGAAATCACTGTTTTGGTCAAGGTACATATATCAGGCTGCACATACTCTCCGACTAGTAGATCAAGATTAATCATATAAGTAGTGTGTGTCGCACTACTTTTAGTGTTGCAATCAAGCGTATTGTACACTATAAAGACATTTGCTCTATTATGACAACTTTTAATACTACATCTGACTAGTGTGAATATGAATCATAATCATGTGTGCAATTACTCGACATATAACTTCACTGAAATATTCACATTGATGTAGACATACATATGTTAAGACACGCAAACACATGCATATTACGTGCATGTCACATTATTGATCTGTCACTTACTAATGCACAATCACTAATGTTAATAAGCATGATCGATAAACAGATCATGCTAGCATGTGTTTACAACATAAATACAGAATATTTCTATGTTTTGTTAGGTCCAAATAATTAAAAAAAAATTTTCATACCAAATAGTAAAAGTACTTGAAATTGTTATTATACTTAGCATATACGAGTGAACTAAATTACTCTCATGTATTGATTTCGCCAATTCTATGGAACGAAAAAAAACTCCAAACAATACCCAGTTGAGGCCTTAAAAATAATAGCGGAGGGGCAACTAGGAAGTTCATAACTCAAGTGAGTCTCTTTCTTCTGACTGCTTCAAACACAAAGAAACAACTCACTATTCAAGTGTTTATTCGCTCAATTAATTTCAAGTGGGTTCGTAAAGTGACACTAGTTGAAGAACGACTGAAAAACAGAGATTACTGGAGAGATGCTGCATCCTAGTTTGGGACTACTCAACATTACGCATTTATGACTTCATCAGACTTTGAAAGGAGGAACTTTAGGTTACGAGGCAAACCTTTTAACCATCCAGCCAATGAGACGGAACAGAAATAAACATGAATTCAAATCCCCACGAACCAAAACCTGAAAATTGATCTACTGCTCATTATTGACTGACTAGGGCCAGTTGTATTGAGAATTTGTGACCAGTAGGGTACACCAAGTCCGGTGTGAGGACAGAAAATTGCGCATGATATTGACAGCAAGTGATGTTGCATATCGCGAATTATCAGAAGTTAAAATTCATCGGCAATTGGATTTTGTCGCACTGACAGAATGGTCAACGGGCTACCTTGTAACCTGAAGTTTCCAGTTCCGATACCTGGCAGGGTCATAGTTTCAGACTACCGAAGAGTCCAGAACCAGATGCCCAGTATTTCCTAGTTTTCTGGCTGATGTAAGTTCGTGATTTAACTTTGATGGCATTGGAACCTGGTGCAGCTTCACCCAAGTCGAATCTATTACGCATTAACCATTTCGTCATATAGCTCAGCCACTATCGAGTACGGTAAATTTAACTATTTGTTGTTGCATCCGGAATGATGAGCTCTTATGTTTACTAAGTTTTCGCAGCAGTGAGGTTAACAATATTGAATGTTTGATGATTTCTTAGCAGATTTTTCCTGACCCAAACTGGTAATTTCAAAAAGATTTACGCATTAATATTAGAAACTTGTATTTTCAAACGAGCGACTGAGAGATATCGTAATTACGAATATATAATCCCAATAATCATACAAAAATTATTACGGATCAGTTATATGTTGCAAACATTGGGTTGATTTGTGAGTGGTAATCAACGTGACGAAGTCTGATTAATATTTAGGCATCAATCAATGTGGTGAAATCTGAATGGTTAGTTTAGGAAATTGATACTTATATTATTTTAATTCTGACTGATAGACTATCGAACTAGTCTGTATTTAGCCAAAAAATGAACTCTCATATTCTCAGCTGTTGATTAAACCTTCGAGAAATCTATCTAGAAGCAAGTTTACTAGTGAGCACTTTAATGGTACCCTGAAATTTGGCAACATGCTTAGTTTGTAAAGCGACCGTCCAGCCTTCACAAATGTACATTTCGATGAACACCAGTAAAAAGGCAGTACATTATTAAAAAAACTGGCATTCGTACAACCAAACATAACATCTCCAACTGCTGTACTTAATGATATAATCGGATGTCTTAGAGATAGGAGCTTCAAAACCAGTTGTAAACACACCTAGATAACATTAGTAAACACAGATGAATTAATGTTTTATACTAATAAATATCTGATGAATACGGTGACTTAGAAGAATAAAGCTCTTAAGAGGATTGGACTTTTAGTTATTCAATAACCTACTGATAACTTTTTTCTAAGAGAAAATCTAAATTAAATACCTAGTCTGTTGTGTCGCGCATATCGTCACATCGATTTGTTGGTCTAAAATTGATAACTCTTCATGCATAAATAATGAGAGATGAATTACATTATCTGACAATGTTTTAGTATTGGTGCGTAAATATTTACATACAGGCAGAAAATAATAGTGAACTGTCCAAGTGTTGAGTCTGATCAGCAACCCGGTTTCATTTTAATGAGTCACAGTGCGTATAAGTTCACCAAAAGCGTTAATAACACGTTTGTATAGTTCTGGATCTGTGATTCAACCATTTGTAGAACGCTAACCACCCATCTGATTCGCGTTTCACTCCCGTACTCCTAAAGCTTCGATCAGGCGGTAGCAGGCCCGGTAAAGAGGGAAGATTGGGCGTGAAACTAGCAAAACACACCCCGTAAAAAGAGACAACTATGCTAATAAAACTTCAAAGCTCAAGAGTGAAGCCCAGTGTTCCATTTGGAACGCAAAGGAATGAAGAATTCTGAATCCAGTCAGGGGTTTAAAACAATGAAGTAAACTGTAACACTGAGACTCCGTTACACAGCAGCAATCGCTGTGCTATTTCTTCGTTACAAACACACGACTTCTATTGTTTACGACGCTGTATACAATTCGAACAACATGAAATTATCACATTTCAGTCGCTAAAATCTTCCAGAAGTTATACTGGTAGTTTTTTCTAAGCCACATGCTTCGGGAAGCAAAAACCAACAAACTAAATACAAGTAGCAATGTCTGGGAGACAAAAGTACGAGTGCATTGCAAATGAGGTTGTTGCAAAGACCATTTGCCAAATGAACTCATATTGTCATAGTGAAAACAAAAAGTGCAATCGCTCAGAGAAATAATTATTTTCTTTTTATTACTCACGGCATCTAACTTACCTGAAAAACTACACCACAAAATTTATGAGTCTTAATTCGTTTTTGAAAGCTAAGTTGTGAAGATTTAGTTTGAGTACTTCACTATCGGTCTCAATTGTTTCAGAAACCATTACAACTAAATTTTACGCAAGCAGTTTATAGTGAACCCTAAGACGTATTGGCATAGTTGGTGAATTATATATATATCACCGATATACAATATGAATGACGGAACGAGTAATCTTGGAACTAGTAACCTAGAGGTTGGAGTGGAGTAATCAAAGGAATGGATTACGGGCAAGCCTTAATCATATGGTTACAGGATTGTACTTTCGATAACTCAAAGCTTCTCAAGAGAATAATCAATTTATTATTACTCTTGAAGTCTACGATGAGATAGATTCGTTTACCATATTATCTTATTCTCACTTTTTAAACCAAAACTCTTGACTACTGTAAAGAGGTGTCTACACTAATAGACCGTAAAACCTCTTTACAGTAATCTTTCGATGAAATTAGATTCTTCCGGGTGACAAGTATACTGACTGAAATTAACAATGTGAAACTGATGTTATTTTGGTTAGAGGTGATGCACATTTCATCCTGCCCGGGACTCGTCATCTGCGTGCGCCTGCCTCCTCAGTGAGATAGACAGGGATGATGTTTTCGCCGGGACTCAAACCCTGCACTCAATCAATCGGAAATGCAAAACTAAACACCGATCTTCCTTCCACAATTTAAAGAGAAAAGTCATTGTTGATGCATGGTCTGGTTTAACAAAGAGCATTATTGATAGTAATGTCAAAAAAATCAACAGCAAGATCACCGTCTAGTGGAGCAAAGAAAGTAACGAATAGTGGGGAAACAAGGCCACATGTCTAGAATAAAAGACAGTTTCAAAAATTATGCAAAGGATGCGTTTTGGAGAATAACATTTTATAAGCGTTTACAGGTGCAACAAACTGAAAAGAATGCATGCTTATCCTCGAAGTTATTATTACTATTATGATTATTATTATTATCATAATTATCATCGTTACAAAGATATTCAGTGTAAAATGTGGCAAACAATAAGTAATATATATGTTATTCTTTGTAGGAGGCAGTAGTGGGAAGGGAGGGAAGAAGAGAGACCGGAGCTAAAAGAAAGACATACTTTTCACAGTTAATATTTCATATAAGATAATATTACTACCAATAGCTCTCAGTAGTAATAGTAAATTAGTAATGGAAAAATGAACTGAATTCTTTTACAATAAAGAACATCGCCTTGATTTACGAAGTCGTGGTGGCTCCAAAGCAGCAAGGATAGCTTCGTCGAATACATTTTTCAAGCCACTCTATGTAAATAAAACAAATTAATGCATATGACATGTGTTTTGTAAGGGATATAAATTATTAGGAGTGACGGCTAAAATTTAAGACAAACAGCGGAAGTAACACTCACACATTTATCTCATCCAGATTCAATACGTCTGCTTTTGCTATCTTAGCAATACTCAATTTCCGTAGATTTCCTTTGTGCTATAATGAAGTATGTAAAGCTGCAAAGGAACATTTACGTAAGATGTACATGGAAACAGTTTGATCTACAACTACAAATTTCAACTAACTGCACACACCACTTACATGATGAGACGAAATTTAATGTTATTAATATAGACAGTATCATACCCTATTTGGTGCAAAGGTTGCAGCTGACCTCATAGTAATAGATAACATATAAAAAAGTATTTTACTTTTCTGAATGTTCTTTCGGACTATTTACTATTAATGCCAAGTCAGCGCTTCTACATGGTCCAAGGACTTCACGCACGCGTCACCAGAAGCACTTCCAAAAGCATGTTGCAAACTTTCATAAACTGCTGCATTCGCTAGCCCAGTAATGAAGATAAGATGTCCAGTCAGAAAGGATAATTGACAAGGGACTATGACAGCAAACTGATAGAAAGGCAAAGGGAGTGGATATGCGTTGAAGAAACATTTTAGTGACGTCACACGCCAAGCCCTTGAGTGGAACCCTGATGAAAACCGCCGACGATAGCTTGATTGTCCTTTGCACAAACAAACCGAAAAATTGTGTAACCAATTAAGGAGAGAAAGTTGAAGAGCTTAAGCAATTCTAACTGCGCAAACATAAAGTCAAAAAGTTTGAATTTAGTTATTCAGGATAGATTTTTCATATGTCAGGTTATGAGTTGCATCCATTGTGTAAAGGTTGATGCTACCATCTAGTTGTCACATTTGGATAAAATGGTGTAGGATTAAAACTCGCAATACAGTGTATGAATGTCGAGTGCTCAACAGCATGAGTTACATCTCCAAAAGTGGTTACACGCTAATTTAGATGACAGATCAAATGGACTTCGATTACATATAACCAACGTACCACTGAAAAAAAATGTTTAAGACTGAAGTCTTAACGAAACTTAAATGTCATCTTTTGACATATTTGTGCGTGAAAACTGAGTCTACAAATGCACAAGTTCCATCAAACTATCAGGTGCTTTAGCTTACGATCAGCTACTGACAAGAACCCCTTACAAAACGTAGAGTTTATGACTTGATACCCAAGCCTAATTTGTAACAGATATGTATTTTTACTTGAACTGAATATATAACCAAATAATTAGCATGTCTGTACAAACCATTGGCAGTCTTATAGTATATAAGCACTTACCTGGGTGAGGGCCGAACATTCCACATATTTGACAGCTTTCAGTTCTTTGGCGAGCTGTTCACCTTGTTCAGTAGTGATTTCTTTCATTTTATTATTCTTAAGGTGAGTTCTCGTGGTACTTTCACCTCGAAGATCACATTGTGTTCCAACAAGAAGAAATGGGACTTTAGCTGAGTGATGTACAATTTCTGGGACCCACTAAAAGTTAAAGAAAACAATCTCGTCAATAACTGATCTTAGATTAATTGTATGTTATAACGCATTGCGATTTTAAAGAAACTTGGAAGAACAATTATACCTGCATACAAAAATAAATATGGTCGATTCTATAATATGAAACTGAAAGTGCAAGACAGACGATATGGCTCTATGAAGAGAAGAAATCGGCTTTTCAATATACACTACCAAGTTTACGTGAGAGGTTACGATAACCTTAGTAGTTCTAGTGGTTAGCAGTTAATCATGAATTTTATTTGTCAGTTGACAATACCTTTCACACAAACAACTCTTAATACTTACAAATGAATGACTGAACTGAATTTTCAACGTAGATCGTCACAAAAAAGTGTAGCAATTCAAGTTGCCACACCTCATAAAGCACACAAAGGTAGAAAAAAATTTCGGGAGGACTATAACTTAAATCTGTCAGAGAAACAACTGTGTGGAGAATAATTACAATTTGATGGGTCTAGTATATCACAAGGAGTAGACGCATCTGCACCACTGGGAATGATCATGAGATATACCACCAATAGTCTGTAGCGACTAATTTTTAGCTTTTCAGGGAGCTCTCACAATCAGTTCCGTTCACACTACGTTGGGAGTGTCTGTGGGCGTAACAACAGCAGTGTTTCATTCAGACAGTCAGCTATGTTGTCTTCCTAATCCTGGTAGGGGGGACTGGAAACGGTCAACCTACTCTACAATTTTAAAGTCTTCACAGTGACACAATTCCAAGAAATCTGTAGGCGAACAGCCTTACACAGATGGCTCCTCGGCCCATGGATCACATAACACCAATGCCGTCTTTATGGTGGATATTTAAAGAGGAAACAAACTGTTGCAGTGTGGGTAGCCATTGAGCAATAATTGTCTACACACTTCCACAAGCGCACAAGACTTTTCTGTTCATCACTCAACCTCATCTTCTTGCTTTCGGAAAAATGAATGCACTGGTAGATGTTACTTTTGACAATACAAGGCAAGTTGGAAAGCTGTCTCTGTCTGTCTGGAATCAACATAGAACTTGGCACCGAAGTGCAGCAGTTCGAGTTGCCACGTTCCAAGCAGTACACAGGAGAAGACAAGAAGATGAGTGAAGAGAATCAATACAGTCTGACAAGTATAAGAGTGAAACAGAATGGCTAATGGTAGAAAGAAATATGAAAGATTACAGAGACTGAATACATCTGCGCTGGCCATTGACAACGATTTTGAGCCATGTCACCTATAGTCTCCAGCCATTGATTCCTAGAGTCCCGAGGGCCCCAACCCGGAAGTCTGCATCTCCCTACCTGACTCAGTTTAACTGTCAAGGACTTCATGGATTGATGCCATGTTTTTGTTTGGCTACCACTTACTCTTTTCCAACCTGCACCTATATCAGCTAGTAATGCCCGTCGGGGGAGGCGATGGTTAGGCATGCGCAGCACGTGACCTAGCCATCTCAATCTATGTAACTTTACAGCCTCGTCGATTGGTTTTCCCTCTTTGCCTGCCCAACACTCTACGCTTAACGTCAACATTACTTACCTTATTATACCACCTAACGTGAGAAAGAGATCGCAGACATCTATGATCGAAAGCAGTCAACCTTTTCATGTCTTCAACTCGTATTGGCCATGTTTCAGAGCCATAGAGAAGGACGGAGCGAACTGCTGAGCAGTGCACACGTCCCTTGGTTGATAGCCGGATGTCACGCCTACGCCAGAGATGGTGTAAGTCAGCGAAAGCAGCTCGAGCTTTTTGGATCCGTGTTGAGATTTCGTCACCAATCAATCCGTTGGTGCTGATACAACTTCCCAAATAGGTGAAGTGGTCAACATGTTCTATCACTTCACTCCCCATCACTAAGCTAGGAGTTGACGTAGTCCAGTCCTGTAGCAGCATTTTACATTTTGTAGGGGCGAATCGCATGCCAAACATACGAAGATTGCTGCTCAATGTGTTCAGAAGACTCTGTATTTTGTCAGCATCCTCCCCTAACAGGACTATGTCATCTGCATATTCTAAGTCCATAAGACTATTCCCTGGTAACAAGTCGATTCCTAAGTCGTTACGTTCAGTTAAGGATACTTCCATTAGCATATCTATGATTAAGTTAAACAGAAATGGAGGAAGTGGACATCCCTGTCGGACACCACTGGTTGTTATCAATTCAGATGACAATTCCCCGTCAGCCCTTACACCGCTACGTGAGTTTGAATAGAGTGCCTCGAGTAGTGCAATGTACTTTCTCGGCACTCATTTCACAGTCAAACATTGCCATAGTACCTTTCGATCCACGGAGTTGGATAGCTGCTAAACAAATAGTGGTTACCATCGTGTATACGTATATATTGCTGGATGACTGAAAGCGGAACTGTATCACTGGCGGCAGGGATGTAACAAGCCAATTATGCTAACCTGTCCTAAAAAGGCGTTCCGAAATGCAGACCCCAGACACTGCAGCCCAACTAATCCTACCTCGGAAGGTCTCTTATAGAAAAAAGATATTGCTGTGGGTACACCTTATGTGAATAGTTAGAAGCCTTTGTTAAGCCAATCGTTTTTCGCTTTCACGTATTGAAAGAGAAATAAATTTCCAGTGTTGGGTACCGCACACATAGATACATCAGCAATTAAAATACTTCTAATCCCTACCTACCCTACTCATCCTCTGGCTTTCTTCCCACTGCTTATATTGTTCACTCTTCAACCCTGTGATGACAGTTTAGTACTTGACAAATAAAAGCTGTTCAATGTCTTCGAAATCTATGTTACGAACTCAATATTGCAGTTTACAACGCGAAGATCTTAATTCAAACTGGAAAAAGTAAGAAATGAATTTCATCTAAAACTTTCTAATTTACTGCTGAACGTAAACTGTTCACTTACGTTTATGTTGTGGGGTTGTTTTATTGCTTAAGAAAGGGGGCTGAACTAGGGCAAGAAATGTAGTAGCAATATTCACGGAGTAGCACATCGATGAAAGATATTACCTTTTTGTAATTTTGTTTAGATGATCAGCACAACTTGATACGATTATGAGCAATAAATTGTGTTCGAAACGTCAGTAAATATTACCGAATAACACCGAGACTTTATCAAAATAAATTTTCTCCATAATAGAACTAATCTTCATCAGTGCCCAAGTTCTGTTATTATATCAATGACCAGCACCAACTTCAAGAAAAAAAAGATACTATCTCGCATTATAACAGCTAACATTAAGCCAACTATTGATACAAACAGATCACCCCTCAGAAAATCATCCGTACAAATGGAAGTGTCACACTTTTGGATCTACTCGCATGTTCTATAAATCAATTTGTGCATGTTTTTGGCTGTGACTGAAGGCATACGGAAGCGAGCAGCAACGAAGTTTTTAAATGTTTGGCTTTCCGATAAGAATGTGTAGTATATGTAAATCTTGCCAAGACTTCAGTTGTCTTCAATCCAAAACAAGACAGAGGACTAGGGACTGGTGGATTTATTCCAAATGGCTTTGAAGATAGAGGTGATGAGATAGTAACTGGGCTATAGCCTTATGAGCATCCAAGATAGTTTCACAAGATCGGTGTAAGTCGCTGAGCACCCCAGTTTATAAGAACGCGAATAAAACTTGTGATAGTTACAGGGATATCAACATGACTAGTATAGTATACACCTTACCAAGAGTTGTCGTCTGAAGTGATAACAGTCGGTAATGTTCTTCAGTAGTGCAAATGTCAATGATATTAATCTTACTCTAACGTGTGATGGATATCAAAACTACTGCTGTGAAATGGACTCGTTGATTTGTAGTGTCTAGATGATATAGCCTGATTAGGTGAGGACGCTAAATAAAATGCAGTCTTCTGGGAACTCAGTAAAATCTTGAGAATATTTGGTACTGTCAAATGTAGGGAACAAGAGGATTTATCTGGATCGTAGCCTAGCTTAGGGGTGACGTGGAATGTAGTTACGTGGAATGATTGCTTCACTTATTTTAGGAATTACATTAACCCCAAGCAGCATGATTGCAAATGAATTCTCAGCACGCATAAAAAAAGCTTGTTCGGCATTTGCTAACTGGCGTCATCTTTGGCGTAGTGATATAACTTGCGCAGAAGTGAAACACGGCCAGTGAAAGTGGGAGACATACATAAAGTGGAACTAGGTTACAAACAATGTCAGAACTTGACATTAATCAACGAAGTCGTTGTCTATCATATTTCTGATCCCGAATAGCTTTATTAAACTTTAAAGTTATACCATGACCTTCTATCAGTTAAAAAACCAGTGACTACCGCAAAGTTGTCTTGCTGTTTCAGACTTTTAAGCAGCACACACACATGACACCACCAGAGATCGAACTCATGGAATTCAAGTTCAGTAGTTCTCTAACAGATGTTATCTCATGGTCTAACTTCTAATCACTAGAATCTCGGAAAATGAGGACAGTTTCAGTTTAACTGTCTACTTCAAAAAAGTCTGTATTCATTGTATTCTTATAATATTTATGGTTTTCTTTGAGCTTAATAACTTAAATGATACATCTTGTGCACAGTTCTACGTTACAAAGTGAGATCGTCAGCCTTAACCGGAACAGTATTACAATGAAAAGCACACGACAAACTCACTATTGTGTTCTTTAGGAATACTTGGTGCTTACGTAGATGAAAAGCCAACCTCAAAATAAATAAATACACACATAGTCAACACAGACAAGCATATGGAAAGTCATCGATGATTATGCAGGAACACCAGTTTGTGGTGTACTGTTACAAGGAAAGCCGATATTTTAATAATCAAGTTTCGCGGAGACAATCCCCCACGAGTATAAATACACATAAATGTGTTTGAGAACTAAGTTATAATTGGTAAGGGGTTTTAGAGTTAGCAACACTTGCATACAAACATTGAAGAAATAAACGTCTAATGGGATACGAACTGATGAAATTATCTGGCACTCAAAAGAAATATACGTCAAAATGGGTCCAGAGCTGTGACGTATTGGTTAAAATCCAAGTGCCTAAAACAGTGAGTCACACTATTATCGTAAGCTCCAGATGTCAACTCCTAGCTTAGTGATGGGGAGTGAAGGGATAGAACATGTTGACCACTTCACCTATTTGGGAAGTTGTATCAGCACCAACGGATTGATTGGTGACGAAATCTCAACACGGATCCAAAAAGCTCGAGCTGCTTTCGCTGACTTACACCATCTCTGGCGTAGGCGTGACATCCGGCTATCAACCAAGGGACGTGTGCACTGCTCAGCAGTTCGCTCCGTCCTTCTCTATGGCTCTGAAACATGGCCAATACGAGTTGAAGACATGAAAAGGTTGACTGCTTTCGATCATAGATGTCTGCGATCTCTTTCTCACGTTAGGTGGTATAATAAGGTAAGTAATGTTGACGTTAAGCGTAGAGTGTTGGGCAGGCAAAGAGGGAAAACCAATCGACGAGGCTGTAAAGTTACATAGATTGAGATGGCTAGGTCACGTGCTGCGCATGCCTAACCATCGCCTCCCCCGACGGGCATTACTAGCTGATATAGGTGCAGGTTGGAAAAGAGTAAGTGGTAGCCAAACAAAAACATGGCATCAATCCATGAAGTCCTTGACAGTTAAACTGAGTCAGGTAGGGAGATGCAGACTTCCGGGTTGGGGCCCTCGGGACTCTAGGAATCAATGGCTGGAGACTATAGGTGACATGGCTCAAAATCGTTGTCAATGGCCAGCGCAGATGTATTCAGTCTCTGTAATCTTTCATATTTCTTTCTACCATTAGCCATTCTGTTTCACTCTTATACTTGTCAGACTGTATTGATTCTCTTCACTCATCTTCTTGTCTTCTCCTGTGTACTGCTTGGAACGAGGCAACTCGAACTGCTGCACTTCGGTGCCAAGTTCTATGTTGAATCCAGACAGAGACAGACCAGATGTTGACCAAAGAGTTACACATTGTAGGTTATACTTGCAGTCTATTTTGTATAAGATTATATGTACCTTACTAAGAAAACAACAAGGCATACGGCCCTTAACCAGTCAAAATGAAAAAGCACTGACATATTGATAACGAACAACATTTCATTCATAATTACCGTCTTAATCTAAACAAAATATAGATCACAGGTGTTCAGTTAGAATTCACAGTTCAGTATCACACACGTCAGTAGTGCTCATAAAGAAACAGCTGGGATTTTGAGATCGGAAAAATGTAAGTGATAAATTAGTGTCAGCATAAGACGGCTGTTTCGCAAAACTATTTGGATTGATTCAGTACAAAACACCTTCCATAAGAGTCTGAGAGATAACTTCTGCACATTTTAGAGATTGCTATTCTGTCTGACATGGCGCGAACTTTAAAAGGGAGTGAATTTTACACGCTCTTGTTTAGTATTGGCTTTTGTTGTGTTATACGCTCCAAAAGTCTACTGATTAACTTTAAATCAGCTTATTCAGATCAAAGTTAGTTTACGTTCCAGATTTGAGTCTATTAAATTGTAGGAAGTTGTGTTCTTATAACCTAATATTTATACATATATATATATATATATATCTTTGTGCACTCACTAGCTTTTTATCACTGATTTATAAAGGCTATATATATTCGAAGTCATATTTAATTTTTTCCCCGGTTCGTTTTAAATAACACGCCTATCATAAGAAACCGCTGCGGAAGGGCTATGTGCCAGTCTCCGGTGGATGAGGGAATGCAATGTGATAATTGCAAGGAGTTTCACAGTATGTGCACGAAACTTACTCCTGCAGCATACAAACGCTGCTGCAAACCTCTAGCAAACTGGTTGTGCGACGACTGCTGTAGTACAACTAAATTCCGTATTACAAAAGCCATCGCAATTGCAGAAAGCTGAAGGGCAACAGTGATACGTTCACGTTGCAAGAAGACCTCAACAAATTGTCAGTGGTCCGTAGAATGGATGCTCCCGATCAATGTGGCAAAGTGTGCAAACATGCGCATTGGACACGCAAGCACAAGCTCCTACGAACTAGAGGGAATAACACTTCCGTCAGTTCAGACTCACTTGGACTTAGGTGTCATAGTTAGCCACGACTTAAAAACTACAGCACACTGTCGCGCGGCGGATGCACGTAGTTTCAAGTCCTTATGGGCAATTCGCAGAGCCTTTACTAAAATCACCAGAGATATGTTCACCTCCTTATATACATCTCTGGTGAGATCCAGACTGAAAAACTGCATCCGGGCTGCCAGTCCTTGTCTGAAAGGCGACTCACACATTCTAGAAAGTGTTCAAAGGAAGGCAACACGTATGGTTCACGGCATAGCCAACTTATCATACGAGGAAGGACTAGACAGTTCAAATATCTTCTCCCTGTCATACCGTAGACAGAGAGGAGATTTAATCACAATGTTTGAAATTTTAAATAATGACTACGGACCTGACCTATTATCTCCTTTCTTTCCCACCAGGTCGGAACACCCCAGAGGACATAGCAGGAGAGTTCAAAAGCCAAGGGGAAATCATATTGCTGTTGAGTACTGGTTCTCAAACCGAGTCATAAACTCTTGTAACCGACTCCCAGAAGAAGTGATGTCTGCAACCTCAACTGATACGTTCAAGAAGGGTTTGGACAACCACAAAAATCTACCAGAAAAGGATTAACATAGGCTTCAAGCCTATCCTCAACCAATAAATCTGAATATGTATTCTTCGAGTTTCAACTTATTCACATAGCTATTCGCATTGCCCACATAAATGTTAACTGGTTGATAACCCACGTGAGTCAATAGTCACCACATTGAAAAAGTTACTGAGCATACTGCTATTTAAGATCTAATTGGTCGTATGAATGAACAGACCAGACATATCTGGAGAGTAATTGTTGCATTATTGCATTTATAACTTCAAGAAAACGCCTTAACCACGCAACAATGTGAGCAGTACTTACATTTTAATCAGTAAAGGTTATCAGAATAACCAACCATATAAAAAGAATTATTTACGATGCTCACCTTTTCTCTCACGTTCTCAAAAGACGAAGGGTTTACAACAGAGAAGCAGACAAGGAAAACGTCAGTTTGCGGATAACTCAAAGGCCTTAATCGATCGTAGTCTTCTTGTCCAGCGGTATCGAAGAGTCCCAAAGTATACGGTTCTCCTCCAATCATTACCGTAACGGCATAATTATCGAAAACCTAAAAATGTCATATTAGACGAAGTTAATTATACAGTCGGGACGTATTCAGTCGGAAATTTGTTAGTTGTATATGATATTAGTAGGCAAGTTTTGCCAACTGCGCCATCGCCAACAACAACACACTTGATTGTTTGCATGTTTGTCCCCATTACATCCGGACTAGAGCTAGATATCGCACGATTTGAAAAGGCCGCTAGGCGAAGGACATTGATACAATTTAACAAAATATTTCGACTATTATATAATGACTAATTCTTTCTACTTGAATGTAGGAAAATTTCATTTACTGTTTTAAGTATTAAAACTAGTCACAAAAAATGGCGGCAACTATAAAAATACGCCAAGTCGGCAAGTTATATTTCCTTCATTTTATCATGTTGGTTATGGGGATTTTTTTCTCTTAATGTAATCCTAGTTGAAGAAATTTTATTAATAGTCTGCTGCCTTTGTTTTCTCGCTCGTAAAGTAGCCTTATGGTCTGAGTGCGACAACGTGTATTTTCGTAATTGCATAACTATTAAAACTCTTGAAATATTCTGTGATGTGCCTAAACTGTGAACAGAAAACAATTAGTTTCACATCCAGCAGTACTTTTTAGATATATTTCTTTGTTTTCGAAACAAAATCATTGATAGTTTACGTGGTCCAAGCCACAAATTTGTAGCTTATTAATAATGCTGAGTTAAGTCTCGCGAATTCTGAACTAAATGTAACTTTCTGTAATAGGTAAATTCTGAAATTGTTCTAAAATGGCTTGATTATGTGCACAAACGATTTCAGTACCGATTGTCAGCATGACTCGCAGCACTCTGTGCTAATTCTAGGCATTTTCAGAATTGACTCAGTACCTCCTAGGTTTGCTAATCAACAGTGCTTCACTCCTCTTAGCCCAGGTTCACCACTGAATGGCATTAATTCAGAACAAAAAGAGTTAATTCAGCTCATACTGGCAATTTCAGGTAGATAAAATATTCATTTAACATATGAAGGCATTATCGACGCATAGGTTAGAATTAGTTAAGAATTGTTGTAAGCTTGAAGATTCAATCATCTGTCTGACTAAACAGTAGCTTTTAATACCTTGATCTCTTTTTGGGGTGGTATTGGTTCGCAACTACAAGTCAAGTTACGTGTCCACCTTTCCTCGGGAAGTCTGGGTTTGACAATAAAACTTTCTGAAGATACCTGCAATGAGTTAATGCATCAGCGGCCCGAAAAATCTCGACGATTTCAGTTTTTGCGCAACCCGTTTCAATTTATTAATAAATTACTTACTCCAAAATATCATTGTGAAAGCTTAAATATGTGGCTGCACTCCATGTTTGAAATATATTTTCTAGCTAAGTTATTCAAGTTTGGATCTAACTGCTAAAATTTTAAAATACTGAACTACCGACTACTTAAGTCTGCAATATTCAGCTTTCATATGTCTGGTGAATGTTAAGTGTTCTGATCACTGTTTTATTGCGCGTATGTCACTTCCTGTTATTTGTTAAAGTTGTAAGTAGATAGTTGCAGCCTTATTTTAATGTATCAGGCTTAGTGCATATAAAGTCGCTCCTCATGGTATCATCAAATTAAGGCCCAGATTTTCTGGTTCTGAGGTAGATTCTGGTGACATTAATTCGGCAATGAACCAAGTGTAAAATTTTCCATGTTGTATGAAATCAGTCAATAGATCGTTCCAATGATGACAATTAAAGTGTACTTCCTAATTGGTGCTTTGTCTTTGACTTTATCCATCAGACTTTTGATAAGTCCTCCTGTCTGTCTGTCTGTTTTCGACATAGAACTTTGCACAAATGTGCGGAAGTTCAAGTCGCCACATTCCGTGTAGCACGCGAAGCAAGAGAAGAAAGTACAAGAAAAGCATAATAGAAACAGTGAGCAGAGGTGTGAGACAAAGGAGTAATAAAGAAATACAAAACAGTTTCATTGAAGATCATAAGTCACAGGGAGTGGATGCATCTGCGCCACTGAGAACGATTTTGAGCCATGTCACCAATTGTTTCCAACCATAGATTTTTACCGTCCCGAGGACCCCAGCCTGGAAGTCTACACCTTCCTACGTGGCTTAGACCAACTGTTGTGGATTTCATTGACTGATGCCAAGTTTTTGTTTGACCGCCGCTAGCTTTTTTCCAGCCTGACCCTATATCCGCTAACATTGCTCGTCGAGGGAGGCGATGACTTGGCATACGTAACACATGTCCTAACCATCTCAGTCTTTGTAGCTTCACGACTTCGTCGATTGATTTCCCCTGTTTACCTAGAACTCTACGCCTAACCTCCATGTTGCTCACCTTATTATGCCACTTTACACGGGAAATAGAACGCAGGCACCTATGATCAAAGACAGCTAGTCTTTTCATGTCTTCCACTCTCAGTGGCCAGGTCTCACAACCATAAAGGAGGACGGAGCGGACTGATGAGCAGTACACCCGCCCTTTGGTCGATAGTCGAACATCTCGTCTACGCCAGAGTCGGCGTAAACTAACAAATGCGAAACGAGCCCCTTGTATTCGTGCTGAGATTTCGTCAGAGATCAACCCGTTGTGGCTGATGGTACTTCCCAAATAAGTGAAGCGGTCAACGTGCTCTACCACTTCACTTCCTATTTTTAAACTAGGCGTCGATGTAGTCCAGTCCTGTAACATCATCTTGCATTTGGCGGGAGCGAATCGCATGCCAAACATTCGTAGATTGCGGCTCAAGGTGTTTAGAAGACTCTGCATTTCGTCAGCGTCTTCGCCTAGAAGGACTATATCGTCTGCATATTCCAAGTCAACGAGATTATTCCCCGGTAGCAAGTCAATCCCTGAGTCGCTGAAGTCACCTAGGGTTAAGTCCATTAACACATCTATGATGAAGTTGAATAGAAAAGGAGATAATGGGCATCCTTGACGGACACCACTGGTCGTCATCAGTTCAGATGACAGCTCGCCGTAAGCCCTCACCTGGCTGTATGAGTACGAGTAGAGTGCCTTAATCAGTGCAATATATTTTCTTGGAATTCCCTTTACAGCCAAGCATCTCCAGAGAACTTCCCGATCGACAGAGTCGAATGCTGCCTTTAGGTCAAGAAATATAATGACTGTTGGACGCCGGTAGGAATGCCTATGTTCTAGAATCTGTCGGAGGGTGAAGATATGATCAATACACCCTCTTCCTGGTCTAAAGCCTGCCTGGCTCTCTCGTGTTTGTGCTTCCCGAGCACCACTCAGTCTACGCATGATTATTGAGCCTAAGACTTTAGATACTATATTAGTCAAGCTAATCCCTCTGTGATTATCACAGGAAGACTTGTCTCCCTTCTTGTATATGGGGATAATCAGTGACTTACACCAACCCGATGGGACTTCTTCTGATTCCCAGACGCTGCCTAGTACCTCAGTTAATCCGGACAGTAAGCTGTCTCCACCGTACTTAAATACCTCTGGCGTCATTCCATCAGGTCCCGCTGCTTTGCCTAGTTTCAGATTGGTGACAGCTTTAGTAACCTCAGTTAGTGACGGAGGACCTGTGTTTATATCCCATTCAGGGAGGTGTTGGATGCTCGGAAGGTTGAGCGTGGCTGTGGGCAAATTAAACTGCTCCTCATAATGCTCTTTCCAACGATCCAGTCGTCTATCCTGTGAGCTAATTATAGTGCCATTTTTTTCCGAGATTGTCTCACTAATGATTTGTCTTCTCCCACCCGTTTCCCTGATGAGTCCAAAGAGTTGCCTGGTGTTGCCTATCCTCAAAGCTTTCTCCATCTCTTTGGCTTTTGTCGCCCACCACTGTTCACGGTCCTTGCGGAGACTTTTCGTAAGTTTCCTCTTGTGCAGCTTTCGCTCCTCATTGAATTCGGAGCTCGCCGGAATAAGTCTTCTAGCATCTATCAGTTCGGATGAGGCGGTGGAGATCCAGTGGTTTTTACTCACCTTTGGGTTTACCTTATTCACAGCTTTTACAGCTGTATCTATGGCTGCCTGGATATTTTTCCAAGCTTCTTCAGGGTGAGCACAGCTGTCGAACACAGATATGTGTTTAGCTAGTTCTTCCTGAAATACGGATTTAGTTTCCTGATCGAGCTGGGGACGTGATGGTTTTACCGCCAGCTGTTTCCTACGTCCGTTCAGTCGTAAGCACACCCGAGCGCGGACCAGTGCATGGTCGGTATCTACGCACGTGTTCCAGAAGGAGCGACAATCTCCTACCGACCCACGCCAACGATAGCTTATTGCTATGTGGTCTATTTGTGTCCAGCGTTGGTTTGATGAAGGGGGTCTCCAAGTCAAACAGTGTCTTTCCTTGTGTTTAAAGTTAGTGCTTACAAGAAACAAATGATTATCAGAGCAGAACTGTAGGAGACGGTCACCGTTGTCGGTTCGCTGGCACGGAACTCCATAGGTGCCACCGACATCCTTCTCAGATTGACACAATTTCCCTACTTGAGCGTTAAAGTCACCAGCTAGAACGACTATGTCTGAGCGTTTAGCCTTTCCACCAAACTAGACAGCTTTTGGTAGAACTCATCCTTCGTTTCATCTGAACTGCAGTCAGTGGGGGCGTAGGCGGAGATTACGAAAAGGCATCGGCGAGTAGTGCAGTCCTTCCTCCTTCTTACTGATCCGTTCAGGCGGACAGCACACATTCGGCTATCTACCGGGATCCAGTCAAGCAATGTCTTTTCTGCCCTAGTACTCAAAGCTATCCCTACGCCAGCTAATCCTCGTGAACTAGCTGTGGCATCTCCTGACACCCTCAGGTGAATTTTGCAGATTCAACCTGTTGGCCAGGTGGGGTTAGGTGAATAACCACACTTGGGTCTTGTATGCGTGTTTCTGAAACACAGCATACATCAATGGCTGAGAATTACTAATTGAATAGTAAATGCATTTCAGTGTTAACTGTTTTCACGCGTAACATTAACGCTGATGTGATTGTGAGATTTTACAGAGAATGTCACCTATTTATTAAGTGTGGTGTATAACATAGGCGTAACTAATATAGATAACCTCCGGAGTTTTATTTAACACTAAAGATGTGGGTGTATACTAATGACTGCATAACCTGAATTCAATAACAGCTAACATTGTTAATGAAGTTTCAGTTGTACTTGTATTGAGGGGGGGTTTTCTGTCATCCAGAGAAGGCTGATTCGAAGTTTCCCTTGGTTCACAGATGTCAAACCATGTTTCCAAACAAGTGCTTTGTAACAGTTTCATCTTTAATGAGTTCAATATTTTACTTTTCTTCAACAACTGGAAACTGTCACAATCCTATTATTAGCAAGTTACATTCTCTCCCGCGCCTACCGTATATTCACGACAAAGAACTGAGATTTTGAGGTCTGAAGTTACATTCATAGCATCACTTGCTTGTGAAGAAACTACAATTATGGTTCCGCATTTTCTGATGTACTTGTGACATGCTACTTGTTTATATCTACTCTGGATGTTTTTAAATTTGACAGGCTCGGTATTCTAGGTGTGCATCAAACTATTTTATATCTGTCTCAAATGCTTCCTTCCAGATGGCCTGTAGACGCTGCCTGGCTACTCATTCGAATTCTGTTACGTCCTACGTCTTTCGATTTCCATTACCATATTATCACTTCAAGAACAGCATTTCATACTAAGATTTTCCCATACTTATATCACCAACCTCACTTTTGGTTTGGCAGTTGAAACTCATGGACAAAACAAGCTAATATGAATGTCTCGTATTGTTGGAAGCTGATCACTAATTCTAGCTACACTTTAGTGTAGCAGAGAAATATATTAACTAGTACTGCACTTCTTCGGATGCTCCTTCTTGATTTTAGTCGATAAGTTTGTTATAATTTTGAAAGAATGTTGATTTAGTGAAAGTATTGTGACTTTATTTAAATCAGAATGGGTTGCTTTTCCCAAAATTCATCATATATGAAGACCTGAAACCTACTATAGTCTATTTTAGTATTCTTAAGTTCGAAATGAGTATCTGGAAGCATGAAGTATTGCATGATAATAACCGTCATGGGATTTTCTAACCATGTGCGATCTCCTGCAGTACACAGAGATTTACATGCATTGTTTGAAGCTGTCGCGTGACTGAATCCCCTTTAGACTGAGTAATTTGTAAACTTGCAGCACACTTATTGTATGTTTTGTTTAGAACTCAGTTACCCACGACTAGGCTTTAAGCTATACTTATTGTGTGGGGGCTTATAATAGTACCCATTTAGCGAGGCTGTAGTAGGTGGAGCAGGACTCGAACTCGGAGTCCATCGACTCAGTGTCTTGTTTTAAATCGTATGTATCACATCTCCACTGGTTAGAACTCAAATACTGACTTCACTGAGTTACTGCATAATACCAGAATTGTTTAGGCTTAATGATAACTACAGGATACTCATAATACTGACAGTCAATTAGTTTTCCCCTTTTTTCTTTCACAAATATGCCCTGAAAAATAGCAAATAAAGGCATGACGCAAACTGGTTATTTATTCTTTTATTGTGTTTATTCCTTTATTTTCTTTGTCTATTATATCTGCCGTTTTCATATCACCAGGTTTGTTTTTACTGAACGTATATTATAATCAGGGAAATTTGCTGAAGTGTGGTTTTTCCTTTGCTTTTATGTATTATTATTAGTATTATATCCTTTAATTCTTAGAGGAACATAGGGCTTCAGCCGCGCGTGTCCATTGCCTTCGGTTTTCTGACAACTTTTTCACCCCGCTCCAAGTCTGCCCATATGCTTTCATCTCCTCTTCACATAACATCCTCCAATTCACCCTCGCACTGACGACCAACTCGCCGCTTCCCTTTCGGGTTCCACTCGAGCGATGGCTTGTCTAGTGATGTCACTTGATGGTTTCCTCAGAGTATGGCCAATCCATCTTCATTTCTTCCTGCCTATCTGTTTCACAATCGGTTCCTGGTTGGTTCGCTCCCAGATATCCCTATTGCTGATCTTTTCTGGCCGGTCATCTGATCTTGAGTATTGAGTGAAGACAACTGTTAATGAAGGTCTGTAGTTTGTTTGAGGTGCTCTTTGTGACGCGTCAAGTCTCTGATCCGTATAGTAAGTAGCACTGACTTCACACTGGAGTTTAAAATCCGGATGTTATTTTTGATGCTGAGTGCTGTTGACCTCCAAACAGAGTTGACAGTAAATAAAGCTTGCCATGCTTCCTTGATTCTTGCTTTGATATCCTCGTCGGTTCTGCCTGTAGTTGAAACGACGCTTATCAAGTAGGCAAAGGAGGTTGTTTCTTTCAGGTTCCTCCCATATATGCTGGCTGATTGTTGTTGTTGTTGCTGTTGGTGTTGGCCAGGAATCTTCATCACCTCTGTTTTATCTGTGTTCACCTAAAGTCCTATCTTTGAATCTTTTTCTGCCAACTTGTCGCTTTTCACTTTCATATCTTCCAGTTTGTGGGAAATCAGACATATATCATCATCGGCGAAGTTCAGATCTTCCAAGTTTTTTGTGTGAGTCCATTTTATGCCTGTTTCCTCATTGCCCGTTGTCTGTCGCATTATCCAATCTACTGCAATCAGGAAGATCATTGGCGATAGTAGACAGCCTTGCCTCACTCCCGTCCTCACTTCGAAGGCTTCCGTAAGTTTCCCGTTGTGGATTACTTGGCATGCACCATTGTCGTATAACTGTTGGATGAGATGTATAATTGTCGATGGGACATAGAGAGGTGACTGCCATTCCAAGCTTTGTTAAATGATGATCCGTTGAGTGGCGACTTGATCAATACATGGCTTGTTTTTCTCAACCCAGCTTGTTGTGGTCGAAGTTTTTCATCTAGGGCTTGTTTGATTCTCTCCAGGATGATGCGGCTTAGTATTTTGCTTGGGATGGACAGGAGCATAATTCCGCGCCAGTTTTTGCATTGACTTAGGTCTCCTTTCTTTGTTAGTCTGAATAAGTATCCGTTCTTCCAATCCTCGGGTACTTTGCCCTCTTTCTACACCTCCAGTAATGGCGTTATCAGGTCCGCTGTTGTCTCTGGGTCCATTTTCAAAGCTTCTGTTGGGACTCCATCTGGTACTGCTGCCTTTCCAGCTTTTGGCATCTTGATTGAATTCAGGACTTCTGATTTCGTCGGGGGGTCGATGTTCACTGGTAGTTCTGCTTCCGTTGTTGGTATTGTCGGGCGCGTTGTAGGTGGCGGTCGGTTTAGAAGCCTTTGGAATTGTTCACCCCAGTGTTTTCTTTGCTCCACTTCTTCGGTGATTGACTTTCCATTGTCATCCTTTACTGGCTTAATCTGTGTCGAACTTTTTCCCGATAGGTGCCTAGTTGTTTGGTAGAGTGTGGCGAGGTCTCCTTTGCTTGCAGCTTGTTCTGCTTCACTTCCCATGGTTTCATGTTTTCTTTTGTCCTCCCTGGAACTCTTCTTTACTCTTTTCTTTGCTTTTATGTAGAAGCTCTAAAATGTATGCTGAATTTGAATACTACTCCGAATTCATCAGACGGGCCACAATGGAAGGTATGCAGTTAAGCAATAATCTTTCATTTTGATTTCTAACGTTATAGATTTTAATATACGACCAGCTGGGCAGAGATATCATTTCCCCTTTATTAACAGTCAAGGATTTACGCATGCTTGGTGTTACTCTGCATTTGTAAGTTGATCTTTTCCTTTTTAATTTTATTCATCCTTATTCAGAATGCTGAATTCCCCTCGTGAACAAATCCCCGATGTTCCAGCTGTATATTTTGTTTATCCTTCTAAAGAAAACATTTATAGTATATGCAAGGTTTGTCACTATATTTCATTAAAATCTCAAATTTTTATACAAAGGATTTTGAAGCAGGTAGATATGATTCATATTACTTGAATTTTATCAGTCCAATATCACGAGAGTACTTAGAAGAAATAGCTCAGACAGCTTTGTCTGAAAATTGTGTTCATCAGATTGCAAAAGTTTTTGATCAGTATACCAATTTCATATGTTTGGAAGATGATTTGTTAACTCTCAGCTCATCGAGTGACGGTCCATCTTCTTTCTATGGTGAGTTTATATATGATGCATTTTTCAAGCTGTCCATTATTTATTGATTGATTTTGACTAAGCGAAGCATGTGTAGTCTCCTAAGTGTTCAAGAATAATCTAGTTTTATATCATAAATTGCTGTATTTCTCCCTTTAAGCTCTTTTCCTCCTTATGGGGGACGCGCCACTTGTCATTCTGTTTTGATGTTATTCATTTCCTTCCAGTAGTTTGCGGATTGTCTTTGATAATAATCCACTTGTGATAAAAACTATTAGTAGCTTCTACTGCCTATTCAGCTCTGTGGGAAACTCTTGGAAACGCTATAACAAGTAAGAATACAGCTTTAATTTATGCGCACAGTCGAAGTATTGCTAAAAGTAAACAAACGTGCAGAGCATACTAACAAAAACGAAAGGAAGAACCACAATGCATAGTAAAGTCAAATATATTATGCGAAGAAAATTATGATGCTTCATTGAAGAAATGAAAATGTTAGTAACTTGGGTTATTATCTTAAAAAGTTGTAATTCAGTGTTTATTCACAATGACAGTGTACAGAAAGCCTGAAAATACCAGGTGTAAATCATTTTTATTATCGTAATGAGTTATCTCCTGATGGAATCACTTTCAGCAATCATCGTATGGCTTTAATGTGGAATATATTCCGGGACACTGGTTGTTGTTATACACTTGCATAGTGTATGAACATATTGTTTTGGTATTTTTCAGTCTGCGTAAAAGATGTGAATAAACTTGTTTTTAGCTTGTATTCTGTTTCTTCATCTCTTCTAGCATTAAATCGTGCCAAAGCAACAGAAGCTGATGTAGAAAGTATAATTCATTCAGTTGTTGATGGACTGTTTTCAGTTTTCGCAACACTAGGTACAATACCTATAATACGTTGTCCTCGTGGTAATGCTTCTGAAATGGTAGCATCTCAGTTGGATTCGAAATTTCGAGATAGTCTACGAGATTCTAGGAACTCACTCTTCATGAATAACACAGCACGTGGTTTTGGTGTTAGTATGGGCGATGACACGTCTGGAGATCGTTTATCATTAAATTCCCCGCTTGGTCTCCCAAATAAAAATGCTCAAATAAATTCACCGTCTAACTTGTTTCAGCGTCCATTGTTGATTCTTTTGGATCGTAGTCTGGATCTAGCTTCTCCTCTTCACCATGAATTATCCTATCAAAGTTTAGTTCACGATATATTTGTAAGTTACACTTCGTTACATTTTGGGGCAGTTTTCGCGCATTAAAAAGCAGAGCACAATTTGGTAGCTTCATGCTTACTGTTTAAGCAAATTATTTTTGTATGGATTGATTGATTGGTCCAAAGAAAATCATCGTCCCAAATGATAACTACTGCCTAAGTTATGTTGTAGTTCAAATCCGCAATTTACACTGCTCGAGGTGATTACTTCATTACAGTCTTCTTTTGGAAATCGAGATTATTCAGATCGCAATATGTGATCTGCTTGATACTCCAAATGGTTATCAACAAACGAAGCGTTGCACATAGTTTTACGCTTTAATTGTTCTAAGAGTAACTCTTGTACTGAAAATGCCTATCATTTCCTTTCCATTAAGCTTAATTACTCAAACAAGTGAGTATCTTTGCCCGTTGTTAGACTTTACAGACTACCTTATATCTTAAGTCACGAGTATCATACAGTAAAATATTCCACGATATCAGGGATAAATGAAGCTCCAGCAATAAAAGAAAATGTTAGGCTTAAGTATAATATTAAATGGAGTTGGCGTGACCATCTGACATTCGAAGTTCACCATGATTGTCTTCCTAATAATTTGTTGAAACCAACTGTTGATATGCCGTGAAACATTATTATTATTATTATTATTATCACTTATAGTTGGTAATTTGGTCCAGAGACGTTTGCTGTTGAAAAGACTTATTGACTGTTTGTCATCTCTGAAATTCCATTTTCAATGTAATTAATCAAATTATTCTCTTACTCATGTTTATCAATCTTAGTGTCACCCTATTTCTCTTTTTTGAATGATATTTTGAAGTGTTGGCCAATCACCCAGTACTCCAAATAAACTCTTCGTTCGTACAACATAAACTATATTTTTGTCACCTTTGTGCAAAAACCGTACAGCGAACTGGTATAAAAAGCCTTTGAATCAATTAGGTACAACAAGATGAAATAAAATAATCACAGAAAAATTGTTGTGGAAATTGAATACGAGTCAGTAACGATGAATTTTACTCAACCCTAAGTATATTTATGCACTTGGTAATAAGTCACACTTATTATACGCCAGTTGATAATACCTCCCGTCTGAAGACATGGCTCATTGACTATTAGGCACTCAACTTTGAGTTAGTTGGTCCTGCATTCGATTGCCGTTACACTTACTTCAGTCTAGGAACCTGGGTAGTATCACCATCTGTCACACAATAATAAGTGTAGTTTATAGCTTAGAATGTGGCATTTCTGTTTTGGGAACTGTGTTCAAACAAACCGGCTTCTGTAGTGTCAGTTAGAGTGAGGTTTGAAACATTGACTTACTAATTAAAAGTTGAAAACGGAAACAAATGGAGCACATGTTTGTAACCTTTATGTGTCATGTAAAGTTTAGTGATTGTAATTAAATGTTCGACTATTTTAAATCTTCATTTTTGACTTGCTGGTTGAAAGATGAGCATCTAAGTCGTTGATCTACGTTTTTTAACAAGTGCACTAGGGGAGTAAATATTGTTAAAAAACTCCATAGTATAATCAGAACCAGATGGTTTTTAGCGAACAATTGTTTTCTATAAATTCATCCTTAGACGCTACAGTTATAAATCCATGATTATTTTAATACAAATCGCTATTAATGGCATGTGGAAATTATATCAGAAACTGCATTGGGGTACATAAATAATATGGAGTGATAGTTCGCTATTTAATACTGTCAAGTAAACGTATATAAAATATGCCTTCATTCAGAATATGACGAAGTGTGAATAAACAAATGGGTGACATACTAATGTATTAATAGTCAACAGAATGTAAGTTTCATTGACGGGTAACGGTTGAGTTACATACAACGGTATGCGAAGAAAATGATTACCAGAAAATACATAGAAAAAAGATACTATAAAAGTGGAAAACACTGAATGTAAGTTGAAGCAAAGACTGACAGAAATCAAGTGTAGTGTTTGGTTTTTATTTGTCCCTTTCCCTTTTAAATTGCAGAATATTCGTTTCAATCGTGTTCACGTGAATTTGGATTTAGCTAATCCTATTTCGGACGATGAGAAATCCAAAATTTCAGATCGCCATAGCCAAAAGTCAAATTCCAAAGTAGTCGAATATGATTTAAGCGGATCGTGTGATCGTTTGTGGAGAGATTTTAAAGGTGCTGCATTCTCTGATGTCGCTGAGGCTATACATGAAGAAGTTACCATCCTAAAGGATTATGACAGGCGTATGAGTGAATTGAAATCATCACTAGGTGGTTCAACAGATGTTGATCTGCTAGCAGCATCGTCTACAATGAATTTCCTAGATGATAATACAGCTAAATTGACAAATGCTATCAAGTGAGTAGCATTCTCTGGATATATTATTATTATTATTTATATTATATTTTCGATGAATACCCCTCTTATTTATAATATCCCATTTTATTCATAAGCTTTCTGTTATTCTTAATAGTATACTCTGTTGTATCTCGAACTTGCTTATGCATTTCATACTTCCTCCCCAACTTCTGTGGTGTACTTGATCAAAGACACAGGTATTGTTAAGCTTCATAGGTTAGTTATGGTTCAAACTAACAGCTCATATTTGGACAAATATCCTACATCCTCCCTGGGACACTTCGTGACTATTTTTTAATGAAAATCTATGTGACGGTGGGGGGTCACAGAGTATTATTAGTTGTACTCTTTATTTGTCAACCAGTGTAGAATGACATTTTGCGTTGGAATATAGTAACCCACTGTGATTACTGTCCGTTAACTAATATCTGGTCTGTATAGCCTAAGTTATCTTTTTCATTGTTTATGTAATCTTTCGATCAGTACTGTTTGTTTACTTTGAGCTTATTAATGGGGGGGGGCATCAATTTACTGATTATTTTAATAACTGTTCTACCATAGACTTAATATCGCGTGAGGTATATGTGTCATATGGTGTTTCTTGTTATTGTCTGGTTATTTACGTTAATCTTGGTACACAGAGTAACTTCCTTGTCCTTCGATCTACCGGATGAAATTAATCTTTAAACCTGACAAAAAGAATGGTTTAAAGACAGCATATGCACACATAGCGTGACACATATTTAAATACTTGATACAGGGATTGTAGAAAACTGCTTATAACGTACATTTCACTAATATGTCTTCTCTCCCTCTCTCTCTCTCTCTCTCTCTCTCTCTCTTATATATATATATATATATATATTGCCTTCTACTAGCTCTTTACCTCAACTAATGGAACGTAAACGGTGCCTTGATATGCATACTAATATTGCAACTTGTCTGGCTAATGTTATCAAAGGCAGACAAATACATTCGTTCGCTGAGGAAGAAGACCATTTGTTTGCTAAGAATAATCCATCTACGGTATGTGTTTATTTATTTACTTTTGTATTTGTGCACATCTGAAAATTGTTTTTATGTAAACTTAGTAAAATGACAATTTCACACTATGTATAAGCACTCTGTAAATGTCTCTTCTGCTTTGGTCTTTGACTGTAGGTGCTTTCGTCCTGTCTCTCGTCCCAAGTGGCAAAATATGGTCAGTAATATTGTGATTAGGTGTAGAGTGTTGGGTAAGAAGGGAAAGTCAGTCGACGGGATTGTGAAGCTATATCAACTTATATGGCTAAGACACGTGTTACGCATGTCAAACCATCACGCTCCTTGCCGAACAATGTTAAATGACATTTAGGTTGGAAAAAAGTTAAGGGTCGTAAAATCATAATCTATCACTAATCCACTAACTGTTTGATTATCTCAATCAGCTATGTAGAGAGGTGTAGACCATCTGGCTTGGATCCTCTGGCTGCTGAGAACCATTGGCTTGAGACTGTTGGTGATACGTCTCAAGTCGTCGCCAGTGGCTCAGATGGATTCAGTCTTTGTAATCTCCCAAATCCACTAAGTTGTGAGGTTTCTCCATGTTAATATTCTTTCTAATTGTATATTATCTGGCCCGGAAAAAGATTTCGATAAATACTCGTAGAAAAGTAACAACATAATTCGTGAAATAAAATTGAGTGGGATGTCGGCACTGATGTTTTTGGAAAATGTGTCAGCAGATCAAGATTATTGGTAAATCTACACAGTTTAATTCGCTCTAAAGCATATAACACCACCAGTATCGAACATTATATTCCCGTTTTCAACATAAATGCGAAGGTCTTAAATGGGCTGACTATGGTGAATTAGAGAAACTCATTTATCTGTCATCTAAACACATCTACTAACTGCTTAGGTTGAAAAAGAGTTAGTGGTGGTTAAGTCCAAACTTGTTATATGTCCACTAAGTTTTGACTATTGGTTTGAGTCAGCCACGCAGGGAGGTGTAAATTGCCAAGATGCGGAGAGGGGAAGTTCTCGTGATGACTTGAGACTGTTGATTATTATTATTTTAAAAAAATGATACGTTATATGCACCAAAAGATGTACCACTGTTGATGATAAGGCTCAAAATTGTTCATAAGATAGCGCTTATTCATTCAGTTTTTGTAATCTCGCAAACCTGTTAAGCGCTGATGTTTTTTTCATGTTACTACTCCTTCTTCCGCACATTTCTACTTTAGTTTTTTCGAATGTCTATTTTCCTTTCTTTTCGCTATTTTTGTTTGTTACATGGAGTGTTGTAACTTGAACTACTTCACTTCTGTGCAAAGTTCTACTGTAAGATTCAGCCAATCAGTCATTAATCTGAAAAGTTGCCGCGTAATGTAATGCTGCATCCACCATTATCGTTCCCATAATCATATCTTCATCCTCTTTTCTGGTTTTTTTTAAATTTCTCCTGTCCTAAATTTCTTCACAAATGTTCAACTCATCAACAAGCTAATAGAGGATATAAACCTTTTTCTGCATCTTTACTAAAGGAACAAAGCCTAAACGACTTGATCAGTAATCCATCAATTGGTTCACCTGAGGATAAATTACGTCTGCTTATTATTGCTACGCTAACTGGAGTTAGTCGAATTGGTATAAACAATAATCCAAGCAGTGTTACTGGTTCTACAGGTGGATTGAATAATTTAACAACAAATTCTACTGGTGTCGATTTTTGCCTGTCAGACAGTGAAGTTGATCGTTTGAAATCAGTTCTACAAACCACCTATCCAGATTTAGATATAAGTCCTATTAATTATGTTCAACACTTTAGGTAAGCATTTTTTTCTTCTGAAGTCAGTTTATTTTAATACCATCAGTTATTTCATAGGACTGGAAAAATAGAAGGCCATCTAGAGGTTTCTGGTTCATAGTAGCGTGAATCATTGTATTTACTGTTGACCGGCTATGTAAATTTAGTTCATTTGAGAATGTGTGTGATTTACTTCCCAAGTGGCAAAATATTGACTAGTAACCAAAGATTAGATTTGTAATCGTGCCAACATCAATTATCAAAAGCACAGCCATCTAGGTTGATATTTCGAGTTGTCTAATCATCCATCCATTATTTGTTCCCTTCACATTATTCATTATCATTAGAATCTGGTTCAGTTAGTGTGGCTAGATGGCTAGCGTTGCATAAATAAACAAGGATAACAGCCGGAGTTTAGCACCAAGACCTGGTCACTAGGTGGTTATCAAACTCATCTAATAGAATGCCTGGTCGATGGTTCATGTCCTGCCGCAACTCAAACTTCCCTTCCATCTTCAGTCATCATCCACTTACCAATAATCAAAGTTGTCAAATGAAGTAAAATAAGAGCACTTTCAATAGTTTTACCCAACTTCAAAACAACATAACCTGTTATAGACTATCTTAAACTATTGATTAGACACTAGCTATTAACTAGTGTAATGTGTCTGGTCCTTTGTTTGGTGCGGACTGAGTTCTATCGGTCTCTAGTTACTAAATAGTGTGAAGTCAAAAGTATACAATACAGCTCTACAGGAGGTCAATCGCGAGCCCGAATAGCTCAGTAGTAACGTCTCTGATTGCAGCACTGGGTGACACGGGTTCGAATGACAGAATGGAAATCAGTTCCTTCAAGCTTGCAGATACACCCTGCTGACAAACGTCAATCAGCACGAAACCTAGGTCCAAGGCTTCCTGCTGACTGCTGCCAACCATCTAATATCAACTATCTATAATATGGAATTTGAAATGTAATAACAGTATTCATTTTGTACGCTTACACGTATTATAAATAGCATTAGAATTTCTTTATGAATTCAATTCTAAAGACAGTCGACAGCGGTTACGACGCTTGCCGACCATGCACATGGTCCGCGATTCGATCTCTGGTCGACGCACCCCTGATATCAGCGGTCGACCTGCTAAATTTGAGCTACTGATATCACATGGTGAAAATTCCATAGTTTTACCAAAAATACTCTGTGGAATCAAGCTATGATAAAAAAAAATTTATAGTGCAATTTAATTAGTCAGTAGTTTAACCGTTTGACGAAATTCTGTTTTTCGGCTTACCAGTTAATCAACATATTGCTTTCTTTTCAATCCCCATGAAATAGACGAATTCCAAAAGCTGGTCAATTAACTGATAATATAATGGAGAGCATTAAAGGAGCTGGAAGTCGCAGTGTACTCGATAAACTTGTTTCACATGGTTCAGCTATCCTGCTTACAGGAATGAGACACTTGATTGGTCAGAAATCAGTGAGTATCTCTCTCTCTCTCTTCATTATTTTCATTCACTTGTTTCTAAACTTTTTCAAATGTGTTATTATTCGGAGATAACCATACACCTAATTTAGTGCCGATTGAGAGTAGCCAATGGGAAACATCCAGTGATTGCTCAATCATACAGAAATTTCGTCTTATACAAAAGTTTGGTAAAAGTAAACTTATTCATTACCTAATCTACGATTGATATTGTGCGGGATGACTTCCCAAGTGCTTTGTTTGTATTATTTGTCTCTGTATTTATGTATTTAGTAAATAATATTCTATTGCTGTGTCCGTCGATGGTCCAGTCTTTGAATGCTCGCCAACCACTCACGTGGTCCAAGGTTCGATCCCCGTCCCCTTGGTAAAAAGGGTAGTTTGAGCGTAAGAGTAGCAATCTCACCCCGTTAAAAACACTATTGCTGCTAAAACTTCAAAGCTCAAACTTGGAGCCCTATGTTCCACTCAGAACGCAAAGGAATAAATTCATGTTTAGAAATATGACATTTATAACGGTTTGAAAAAATTTGGGCATTGGGTATATGATATGACATTTACTTTATCTTGGCACTTGAAGTGATATAAATTTGTAAACACTGGGGTGAAATCCAATTACTTCTGGGTTTTAACTTTGGTCACTCCCATTCATTGTCATCAACAAGTATCTGTCTTCATCCTCTACCTGGCTTCCCATTAGAAGTCCAGGATATCCATCCCGTAGTCAAGTGGATTAAATTTTAGATGTAGATTTCTGGGGATTTGATTAATTTCAAGAGAAACTACTGACAACTAAGGACCGCGGGACACTTGTGTTCTAGATTGGCATTCGGCGGTTGCGCGCGTCTACAATACCAGATTCATTCGCATTCCTACAAACTTGAAATCTCAAAATCAAGTGATTTTACTTGGAGTGTGTAGACTGATGAGCCACAGATATACTTAGGCACTTTGCAGATATGATGTGGTATAACTCTGCTTAACAGATCATTTTACTACAGTAATCGAGAAGGCGTTATAGTATGTAACAAATGACTATCGCAACACCAGTAATTTTAAAATCATTAAGCAAATGGGTAATAGGAAAAATCAAAAATAATAGTAAAACCTGGGACACTGATCTGGATGAAAAATGAGTGAAATGGTTGAATGCGTAGCCCACTCTTCTTAGTTGTGAAGTGACATAAGCTCTTATGAACTGAGCACAAATTAAGAAGGCTCGTTTGACGTTCATCATTTTGCATCATTTCTGATACTGACGCGATGTCTAACCCACACATCAAAGGCTGCATGTAGCACACAACAGTTCCGGTTATCCTACGTTACATACACGAGATGTAATCACCTAAAGTTGAGGAGATAGAAAAATGCGAGATTTTTGGTTATAATTGCCCTCATTTGATTACTTACATTAGGTGAAGTAACATGGTAGCTAATAACGGAATTGGGTGAAGAATATCATGTAAAAGAAGGTTAAGTCGTCCGAATGGAATTATAAAGCATCATTGTATGAAGTAACTGGGAAATATGCTACGCATGCTGAACTTATATCTTCATGGGAAATTAGTTTTGACATGCTTTGAATGAGTTAGTGGTAAGCAGATCGAAACGTGACGTCAATCGATCAGATCATTGACTGGTAGTATGAACTACAAAATTAAGTGTAAGTTACCTGACCATGGTCACCTGGAAACTAAGAATCGACGTAGCTGAAAATCGTTCACAGTGGGGCAGATATATTCTTTCCTTATCATTTGCGAATTATGAAAAGTTTCACTAATCTTCATTTAAATATCCTTTGTCTTTCCCATGTTTTCCCACCATTATTTTTCGTTTGTTTTCAAATTGACGTGAGGTGGGAGAGGGTAACTTGAGCTGATGCATTTCTGTGCTAATTTCTACGTTGGCCTGTCATTCATTGAATTAACCAAAGGAGAGATAATATCTAAGCTTGTATATATCCTCACAAGAGTTAGTTTTTCTGCACTAAAAGCGAAGATTGGCATTCAAACATGTAAAACAAAAGTAGTTGTGTGCCTGTAACTTCAATTTTAGTCCGAATTTACCTTGTAAATTGAGTGTGTAATCTTTTGAGTATATATTTTTTTGTTATGATTATTTCATCTGTTCACAGTATCTTCCATTCACTCGTATTGTATCTCAACTAATGGAAAATAAAAGCGGTTCTGAATTTGAGGATTATCGTTATTTTGATCCTAAATTGTACAGGCGTCAAGATACGTAAGTTGATTAGAACTCATTGGTTAGATTTTTTTTAATCTACACAAAATGATTTAAACCGTTTCTAGAATTTTAAAAGTTTACACATATGTTGTCATCTTAGCCAAATTTTGCATTTCTTTCCGTTTTACTACGTGACCGTAAAATTCAGTCGCCCAAGATTGAAAACATGCGAAGGCTGTTTAGCGTAGATATATTTAGGGCTACCACAGACAACGGAGTGTTGAAGAGGAAAGGTAACTGTGTAAATAGGTTTGTGAATCTTTGTTGTTTAAGATACCTGATACCTGTGTTAAAAAGGCTGAATTTTCATTTAACTCAGGAAGCTTTGCTACATTAAGATTGTTGTCAGCCACGTCTCGTAAACCGTCAATGCCCAGCTCTTGCTACGCTGGGACTCACGCTGTTCCTTGAAGTTTCTCAAAACGCTTAGTAATAACGGACGCAAAACCAAAACACCGATTGGCTACTCGAGAATTCTCTATTGTAACACCAATATATCCAACTTTAAAATTAAGCTTTAACTAAGGTCTATGAACAAATATTACAATAATAAATCACAATATTACTTCTGACAGTTTTGGTCTGACTTCTTTCTGAACAGCGACCGATGAGACGATGACTGGTATATCAATGTCTCCGCGAAAATATAGGGAAGTTGGGTTTGAGCAAACAACCATGAATTGATCGTTCAATCGTCAACTACATTGACAATTGTTTTATAAGAAAGTTATTGGTGGTTAGATCAACACTTTATCAATTTATAACGTCTTCAACTTTTGGCGCAATGTGTTTTTGATCAGACTCGATATTTGTCATAATAAAAATTGTACTCTATAATAACGATTAGTCAACATCCATACATACTTACATGGACTTGACAATGATGCACACTTGTTGTTTATGTTGTGACAGTTCGCCTTGGCTTCTCAAACCCTTGTATCTGTGGGGGTAGGAGGATGCTGAACTCTCTATCAAGGTGTTAAAAGTTAAATACCCAAACCAATGGGTCACAATAGCATTATAGTATGTCACCTTCAAAGTCGTGAAAATGCTGTTCATAATGATTTGATTTTTCCTCCTGTCATATTTTAGTATCGCATCCCAGTATCATACTTACATTTACTTCTTCAATTAATGGTGTACAGTACAGAGCTCTCCTTTTTGTGTATTTCTTTATCTATCATTGAATATTTTCCCTCGATATATTAATTAAGAAAATATCTGGATTTTGTCCTAATTTATGTTTAACATTAGTGGAAATCCTTAAATCATCTCCAGTTATTATTTTTGCTGAGTACCTAATCGGCGTCCGTGAGAATCTGTGTTGTGTATGATCAAACAGTCCACTATGAATCAAAATGCCACTTTCTTCATTAGTCTTGGGAATAAATAACACTTCTCTGTTGTGGTCATGTAAACATATTTCCTCGATTGTATGTTTTGATAATCAGACATCTTGTCATGAGACCTTTAACACTCTGATTACTAGATAGGTCCATATAAATATTTCTGACGTACTTTTTCGTTCTTCGTGATGGTATATTTTTATTAGTTCTGTTATACATCACAATATGTTATCCTGATGAAAATTTAAAAACTTCAGGATTTCAGATACACCATGGAAATTTAGTATGATGCACAAGGTGCACAAATAAAGGGATGATAACGCCAATATTGTGCGTCGGTGGCACAGTGGTTAGGACTCTCGCTGACCATGCACATGGTCCGGGGTTCGAGCCCACGCCGGCGCACACCTGATATCTATGGTCGGCCTGCAAAATTTGGGCTACCGATATCCATGCTGAAAATTACATACTTGTACCAAAAATACAGTGTGGAATCAAGCTGTAAATCAAAAAAAAAAAAATATTGCATGTATATTTACTGCTCAGACTAGAATAGTGTATGTTCCAGTCTGATGGTTGCCGCTTACTAAGACATATGTGGTTCCTTTGACTTGAGATTAATCCATCCTCTTATTTGAATTCATGTATTTTTTTTGTCTGTTTACTGTATCTTGAACTTAGAATTGAGTACATTTCTGTATAATAACAATGCACGTTCCTCTGTTAAATCATTTAACCCAGTTCAATAAGCCACAAACTCCCCTGGATATTGTAATCTATAGTAAATGTGTAAGCTGTTAAGCCACTATTTATTTATTCACAGTAGGATTTTTGTTCTTTAACTTATTTCACATCCCTCTCCTTTTTTTAACTTTCCAGTAATATACCTCGGGTTAAACAACCTTTTGATGAAGCTTTTGTTTTTGTCATCGGTGGTGGCAGCTATGTAGAATATCAAAATCTGTTAGACTGGGTTAAATCAACTTGTAATACTACATCTATTTCATCTTCTGCTTCCTCAACATCTCTGGCGACTTCTGTGAATGGAGTGAACAATCGGGCTAATCAAGGAGTACACGATGCATCAAGTTCTCTTAATCTTCGGGGAACAACCTACTCAAAACACATTACTTACGGTTGTACTGATCTGGTTAGTCCATCGGATTTTCTTAACGAGGTAGGAATTTTTTAGCATTATTTTGTGTTTGTGCTCATATGGACTTTTCCTCCACTGAAGTATGTTCTGATCTTCTAAATGTTTTGCTTTAAGTTAACAACTGTTAGGAGCTCTGGGAACACAACAGTTGCTACTGATGTGTTTCATGATCTTGTTCATCAGTTTATGATTATTTTCTCATATGAGTTTGACCACGGATGATGTCAGTTAGAGAACCACTGAAAACCAGCAGGGAGCACTGGACAGCTGTTTCTCATAGTTTGGGAATCATCGATAGTACGCACCCACGGGGGTTCGAACACAGGACCTTCCGGTTACAAGGCAAGCTCGTATACCATTCAGCCACTGTCTGTCTGTTTTCGATGTAGAACTTTGCACATATGTGCGGCAGTTCAAGTCGCCACACTCCATGTACCACACAAACCAAGAGAAGAAATGCAAAATAGAGACAGTAGACAGGAATATGAGACAAAAGGAATAGTTATAACGAAGAACAATGTAGTTTCATTGTAAATCATAAGTCACAAGGAGTGGATGCATCTGAGCCATTGAGAACGATTTTGAGCCATATCACTGATTGTCTCCAGCTATTGGTTTTCACCATCCCGAGGACCCCAACCAGTCTACACCTTCCTACGTGGCTTAGACTAACTGTTGTAGATTTCATTGACTGGTACCATGTTTTTTTTGACCTCCGCTAGCTCTTTTCCAGCCTGACCCTATATCAGCTAACATTGCTCGTCGAGGAAGGCGATCGACGGCTAGGAATACGTAACACATGTCCTAACCATCTCAGTCGATGTAATATCACAACCTCGTCGATTCATCCACTGGGACCCGATTCAATGGTCCATGAATTCTAACTTCTACCAATTCGTGATTTAGTGCAACCACCAACCAATATCATAGAGGGGCACTCCATCCATAGGACTTCAACAACACATCTCCAGTTTGTTCTATTTTCCTCTGTCCTCTTCAGTTGGGTCCACGATTGCCCATAATCTCTCATCTCTTCTTACGATCTCCTCTGCTCTCCCTCAGACGACCCACTTGTCGCTTTCTATTGGGATGCTACTTGAGCGATGGTCTGCATTGCGCGCGATGTCCTTTGGTGGCCTCCTCAACGTATACCCAATCCATCTCCATTTCCTTCTGCGTATCTGTTGAGTAATCGGCTCGCGGTTAGTTTGTTCCCAGCCAGAAATTCTTGTTGCTAATACCTCTTGCCGACTTTGTGATCTTCAGTAGGGAGCCAGCGTAGGCAGCTGTTGATAAAAGTCTGTAACTTGTTGGAAATAATTTTCTTGACACGCAGTGCAAGTTCTCTACCCATATAGAAGAACTGGCTGACTTTAAGTTTGTGTTGAACTTCCGTTTCTCCTACTTTACGCTGGTTGAGTACAGAAGATTTCTAGATTGGTTTTACGTCGATGAAGGCGTATCTTGCCTTTCCGATTTTGGCTAGCCTTAACATCTTCATCCGTCTCCGTTGCCTGTGGTTGAAACCATGCTTTCTAGATAAGTGAAGGAAGTCACCTCTGTCATATTTCTCCCGTTGATGGTAGTTGGTGTTGGTTGTTGTTGCTGTTGTTCGTCGGTTATCTTCATCACCTCCATCTTCTCTATGTACACCTGGAGTCCTGTCTTCGCTGTCGGCCTCTTTTGCCAGTTTTCTGGTTTCCGCCTGCATGTATTCGAGTTTGTGTTATATTGAACATAAATCATCTAGTGTCTTTTTATGGGTCAGTCCAATGTATTCCTGTCTTCTCACTCCCTGTGCACAGTCTAACGCATAATCCAGTCCACCGCAATTAGGAATATCATCGGTGATAAAAGGCAACCAGCCTTGTCATACTAATGTCGATGAAATTGAAGTAGAGAGAGGTTTGACTGCCGTTTTATTCTTTGTTCGATGACGATGCGTAGAGTTGCAATTCTATCAGCACATGACTTGTCTTTCCTGAATCCAGCTTGTTGCAGTGGGGTGGGGTTATGCATCCAGTGCACCTTCTAATCCCTCCAGGTTGACGCGACTTAGTATTTTACTCGGTGTGGACAGGGGCATGATTCTGTGTCAGTTCTTGCAAAGGCATAAGTCACCTCTCTTTGGTGGCTTGACAAGGTAGGCAGTCTTTCTTCCATTCGGTAGGCACCTTTCTTTCCTTTCCAACTTCTTGCCATAGTGGACTGAGAGTATCTGCTGAAGTCTCTGGGTCCGTCTCCACTGCTTCTGGGAGAATTCCGTCTGGCCGTACTGTCTTCCCGGCTGTTCTTCAGTAGCTTGATTTCTGCCTTCGCTGGAGGATTGGTATCCACTGACAGACAGTTCTGTACGTACAGCTGTTAGTGGTGTATATCTGGGCGAGTTGCAAGGGATGGTGGACTCAAGAATCCTTTGAAGTAATCTGCCCATTCATTGTTTCATTTGTTTCTCCTACTAGGTTATCAGGTATCTTTGTGTTGCGTGCGTTGTCTGACTAAACTGCTGTACACATATATTCTATGTATTTCTTCGTTCTTATTGATGTGCGCAGACGTTGTGGCTACTCGACGCCCACAACGTAAATCAAAAGGCACTTGCGAAGATTACGAATATGTATTGAAGCAGTAGTCAAATTCGAAATTGTCAAGGTAATATTCAACAGTGAATGGACAAGTATTTACGAAGTATATATAAAATCGGTCTGTATACACATATAATGCAAGTGTACAAATTAGATTAAAAAGCATGTTTACGGTTGGTATAGGGGTACTACATAATTCCCCCACCAGAACACTAAAATATAAAAAGAATACATATAAGTGTTCGAAAATAACATGCGTCAGCGTAATACGTAGCAGCGGTAGTACACAGAAGGCGATTTATTAAGCTGAAAAATGAGCAGTTTAATGCGGTTAATAACGTCGATAATAAATGCGATAATCTAGGGAAAGTGGAATTACTAATCGTAATAGAATATATAAGGAACGATAAAATTGTCCAGGGATCTGTAGTCGGTAGCCGAAAACGATACGTGAATAATATACGAGATGTGATTAAATATAATAATATAGGAAATATCGATGTTAAAATAATAGTGACGTGATTTATGTATGAAAATATTAATCAGTTAAATGAGTAATCAAATGACAATTACGAATAAAGATAATAAAAATGAAAATTCGTAGTAAGTTATATTTCGATGACTTGCACGTAACTTACTACACTTGAATATTCATTTGATTTATTGTGTTTCAACAAATCATCATCCATTTTTCTTTTTGTATGTGACATGTACATATCGGTAAACAAAAATGCTAGCTGTTTTAGATGTTTGTTAAAATAATTCTGCGTAATTTTGCCTGTTTATTTCATGTGTATAATCAGACGTCCAGCGTTTCATTTTCCCATTTTTTTTTATTTTCCAGTTGGGAAAGCTTGGAAAAGAGCTGTAAATTGCAGTCTCATTATTCTGTGTTTCTCAGCCAACTGACTGCTTGTTTCACTAAACGTTTCAGAAATGTCGATGTATTGGTGGGTGCTATGTAAAAAGAAATCTCTTCCTCCTTCCTCTGTGATCGTATATTCTTCGTTTACTATTCGATCTATAAGTTACCTTTGATTTCTTTATATTATTAATTTTGTCAAACAATACATTCTGTTTCTTGTGGGATGAACAGGTTTTGTGCTTTCTATTCACCTTTGTTGGAACTTATAACCATAATGTATCATTATAATGACAGCATGCATGCCTCTTTTTGATTTTTTTTTCGGAATGATCTGTTACTTCTAGAAAATACAATGTATGCAAGATTTAATTGTTTTAAATATCAGTCTCCTCCTACTCAGAATCATTGGTAAAAGTGATAATTGTCTTTTAGTGTCTGCATTACAACTTTAGCATATCACAATTTTTTAGTTGAGGTTCTGCACATGTTACGAAAAATTATTTGTGTAGTCGGTGAAGAATAGGAGTTAAATGAGGATTCAGATCGATAAAGAATTCGAATCGCGGGTTTTCCAATTATAGTTTCATCGCTCAACTAGCCAAGCTATGAGGTTCACTTGCTAACCAGGTCATCATACCATTGCAATCACAATTTATTGTACTAAAGTATCATGTGTATGAATGATACGTAACTGTCCGTTTATTATTAGAATATTTGAGTTAGTAAGATTTGCAAGGATCCGCAACACAACGTTAGTGTTCATTTAATGCCTCATTTATTTGCTACTGTTCAATACATGAAAATAGGCGTGCATTAGATTTAAGGAAATCGAAATGATATATACTTGAAAGAGGAAAGATTTCGATAGGATCAAATGATATATGAGACATTTCAGTTATGATTATTTCGAGGGAATTCTGCGTGGTGGAAGAGAATGAGATAATACCAATAAAGAAGGAAGAAAAATTAAAACGGGAGAGCGAGACTGGGATGTGACAGTGGAGTAAATTGGGAAGACAGTTATTAGTTTGCAGCATATAGTGGTGACGTCGCAGTTTGTTCGAGACGGCGGTCGTTTGAATGCGTCTTGTATGTCACTGTACAACTATGCGTTGTCTGTCTAAAGCTTTTTTCGGGTGATGCAGTGCTGTGGAGTACGTAACAATGTGATTGTACACTTTTTGGTTATTTGTAGAAATTAGAGATATTGTACATAATTTTTGTTTAAAACGCTTCTTGTTGAAATATACTTAACTTCCGTACACAATTGAAAATACACGTTGCTGTTGGAGACTTCGCCTTCTCCCTGGTTATTTCTGCTTACTTGCTCAACTCACACCGTGTTGTATACTTCGGATTTATTGTAGGAATCTACTGCTCTCAACCGAAGACGTTTCTACAACCGGAACACAGCAGACGCAACCCAAACAATTAACGTACCCGTGGGTTATATAAATAATTTGTAGCAGAGGACTTAAACTTTGTATCCAAGTAATCCTTTTTGTTGATATAATTCGTCACTGCATTTTTGGTAATATATTGTTATTCAACATTTCATTGACTTGGATTATATTTCTCATATTTGTAATATTAGTGAACTCTAATATTAGTCCCCTACAGTGCTGCTAAAGCGTTACAGGGGCGAAAATTTCGAAGTGAGTTGGGAGTAGAGTCGACTTTTCTCCTCGGTGAGTGGTCCTATATTAGTTACCATAATGACTCCACGTTGATATCATGGACTTAGGGGTTTTCCTGGCCATTCTTCATGAGATTCGTTCTCAGTCAGTGGTAACTCAGTGATGGAACTTCACTGAAGGCTTCCATTGAATGGTTTGTTACGAAGAACTGCCACCTCATCTGTTGCTCTTCTTCCCCCACCCCTCCAACAGGTTGACGCTCCTTTTAAAGGATAGTGGACGGGTGGTGTTTCATGTCCCATAACGATGTCGTTATGCGAAAAGCCTCAGGAAGATCTGTGGTGTGAATTTACCTACGTGCGAATTGTAAGGCAGAACATGCCTTAATTAAATACCACAAAATCTCGCGCTTGTATCTAGGTTCTTCATTAGAGTGAGACTTAGTTCACACTCTGATATTCTACAGCCCGTGACGTGATGGGTAGCGTTTGGTGGTCACGTAGCTTTACCACTGTGCACCCTTTCGGGGATGGAATATATTTGTTTGAGTATGCCCAGTTTTATTATTTTTTCAAGCATACATAAAGCCACTACGATTCTTCCATATGACACCGTTTCAGTGTAACTGAGGCATTAGGACGCTTGGTGACCGAAGTCTTCTGCTTCCTGAAGGTCGACCTGGCAGAACCTAATGTTCACAGTAATATCCAATCCTTGGGATCATAACCATGTTTCCTTTCGAGGTCGGTGGTTTAGAGGCTGAGGATATTGCCGTTCATGGATAGTAAGAAGTATACTAACGCAAGATCTAATACCAACAACTTCTATAGTATTCGTTCCGCGTAGACCAAAGGCAAAGCAAAACGCAATAAATCATCGTCCAAATTACGAGATATATTGCGAGACCAAATCGGGGTGCGAGATGATTACTTAGCTGGCTAGGGATTTTGAAGGTTGACGGTATAGACGTTCGCGAACAGTACTAAGTATATTAACGCAAGATCTTATACAAACAACTTCTACTTTATTTGATTCTTGTGGACCAAAGGCAAAGCAAAACACCACAATTGATTCTCCAAATTACCAGATATATATTGAAGCGGAAACTAAGCTAGCTAGTTATCATGCACGAAAGTGACATGACGGAGTACTAAATGGCGGGGATGCTTGACCGGAAGCCTTCAGCTAAACAAGTCTACTTAAACTCTAAGGGTCAGCATCTCATGTTCATTGATGACTCTTATGGTCACGACATAATCTATTCTTATGGTCAATAATTTTGAGGAATTATTTACCGCTACAGCTCACTCACCCCTAGTGGGGTTGTGAGGACCCTAAGACAGAACCAGCAAGAAGTATAAAACCTCGATGGTTCCCTTTTGGGTGGAAAAAATCTTCCGAGCGGCTTGGTGGCGTGCCTACTGGTCTGTCTGCCTATAACCAATGTGGTGTTTGTATATCGCTTCCTTGATGTTGTTCGTTGGATCCCACGCTTGGTTTGTTTCTTGTTCAGTGCCCGTCGCACCTGGAAAAGAAAACAAGAACGCCAAGGACCTTGTTATGCAGCACTACAGCACACTGTCGCGCGGCGGATGCACGTAGTTTCAAGTCCTTATGGGCAATTCGCAGAGCCTTTACTAAAATCACCAGAGATATGTTCACCTCCTTATATACATCTCTGGTGAGATCCAGACTGAAAAACTGCATCCGGGCTGCCAGTCCTTGTCTGAAAGGCGACTCACACATTCTAGAAAGTGTTCAAAGGAAGGCAACACGTATGGTTCACGGCATAGCTAACTTATCATACGAGGAAGGACTAGACAGTTCAAATATCTTCTCCCTGTCATACCGTAGACAGAGAGGAGATTTAATCACAATGTTTGAAATTTTAAATAATGACTACGGACCTGACCTATTATCTCCTTTCTTTCCCACCAGGTCGGAACACCCCAGAGGACATAGCAGGAGAGTTCAAAAGCCAAGGGGAAATCACATTGCTGTTGAGTACTTGGTTCTCAAACCGAGTCATAAACTCTTGTAACCGACTCCCAGAAGAAGTGATGTCTGCAACCTCAACTGATACGTTCAAGAAGGGTTTGGACAACCACAAAAATCTACTAGAAAAGGATTAACATAGGCTCCAAGCCTTCTATCCTCAACCAATAAATCTAAAATCTGAATCTCAACATAGCTGGGTTTTAATTACCAAAACATGGTTTTGGATTCTGTCGGACGGCCATCTGTTGCTCGAAATTGGCTAGTGCCTCCGAATGACGAACTAACTATATTGTCTATTCAACTGAAAATTGTTCTATGCAAACCTATTGTCATAAAACCATCAAGATTTTGGATTTGTGACATGCCTCTCATTTTCTCGTGACGACTCAAGTTGCCAGTTGCATAGCCAAGCACCCGCCTGACACAATCTAGGATTCTCGTTACCGGAGAGGGATGAAATGACTTCATCTTGAACCGTTGGATTACTCGGTTTTATAAACTCGAGTCTTATTTCGATGAGCGACTAAGGATGGTGCTAATACAGAGGTAAAAACACGTGCAATGAATGTTGATAAAGGTAGCTATGTTTCCCTATGTTTCGGCAGCGAAATAATGAAGAGAATTTATTAAGTTTCCGTTTCTCCAGAATGACTATAGTTGGTACATTAGCAAAAGCCACAACAGTGTAATTTCCAGGTGTCAGGAGATTTAATAAATAGAGAATTATTCGTCAGACAGACAGACTTAAACAATTAAATCGCGACTGAGTTTGTAAACAGTTTGCAGCTTAGAAATCACGTACTCAAAACGTACTTATGTAAATGTAACTAATGATCATGATATATTCTGTTGTTAGCGATATGTTCAACAATCACGAGCAACTAAATAGCATAATAACTGGGTGGTATGTATATAGTTTAACCTTTTAAAGAAGAACAATCGAGCACAGTGTTCGAAAAGCAGCTTATATATTATGAATAAAGTTCATATTATAACGCTCAGAAGACTGAATAATGTAGAAAGAATATTAACTCCGACAAATTCATAACGTTTTTCCAATTTTACCTATATCCATGTCATTGTGACGACAGAAGACAAGTGTCAGGCAGCAGATTGTTTATTGAGGAAATCAAGATATATATATATATATATATATACTTCCATGTATATTATTATTCGTAAATATTAATAGAGAAACAGCGTCCTCTGATTGGTTCTTTTCTCGCTGATATTTAATCTGAGATTTCTTCGTGAACGCCGCCTTGAAGGTGAGATCATATATCTGTGAACTGTTTCCTCAGCCGAAAAGTTTGCTATGATTGATTGTTAAGTTACACTTTGACCTTGTTTTTCCAACGACATGTTCGTACC